GTGGGGTGTGGGTGTGGGTGTGGGGTGTGGGTGTGGGTGTGGGTGTGACAAGCTACCATAACCGGTTTCGACCTTGCTCAAGGGTCTCGTCAGATGGCAATAGCACTTAAGAATTTATAGGAGAATTCTCAGTACTAAATTTATACTGTTACTTATAAATTTTTTTCAAAATTCATAAATAATGATAAATTTTTGTTTTAAGGTTTTGGTTTGATGTTTTTTTTTGCAAAGAAATGTTTTGTTTGTAGTCGATTTGTTAGGTTCTATTTTGTGGAATTTTGTTTTTATTTTTGAAAGCATGTATCCTAGAAAATTGGTTTGGTTTTAGCGTGTGGTATCGATGTTGCATTTTATTAGCTGAGTAATAGCTCACTTAACGCTTGGGTTTATTTTGTGTACATTTGAGTTGTTTTTTTTGTGGGATGAGTTATTTCTGGCTTGTTCTGGTCTTAGTATATACTGTCGTGCCCTGTATTTTTAGAGCGAAGTAAGTTTCCTCTGGAATGTGTGTAGTGTGGTTTGCGATGCTTTATGTTAATTTATATGATTTTATGGCTTTATGTTTCGAAAAAAAGAAATGTTTGTCCAGCAGCGCTTACATGCTGATTGTCCGTACATATGTATGAATGTTTTCTGTTTATTTTTTTATTTGGTCATGTTCAATCATTGTTTATTGGTTGTTTTATTCTTTTAGCATTGATTCAGTCTGTTTCTGCTGTTGTTTTTGTTTTCATCCTTCTAAAACATAGTAATGATTTTGATTTCGTTAGTTATGTCGAATTGTTTATTTAGTTGCAGTCATACTATATATTGGTTTGTTCTTGAGTGGGTGTTGTTTGGGTCGTTTTTGAATCAATTGATGTCTTGCATTGCGACGATTACGATTGCCGACTATCATTTTGATATGTCCAACGGTTGTATCCTGGAAAACGTTGTCGTATGCTGCGTGCATGTCTCGTTTCATTGAATGAAATCTTCTTTCATGTTGATAATGTATGAGGATTCGGTCGGCATATTGAGGTTTTTGAGCAGGTTTTTCTTTTGTTCCTTCTGTGCTGTCAGCAATTATGTCATCGGTTTGGTTATTATGGAGGTCGGCTGTTGCCGCATTTGTTGCCACTTGTGACGCTCTGTACGTTGGTTGGTCTAATAGTTTATTGTGCATAAGGAAAAATTGTTTTTCATTGTCAATAATAGGTAAAAATGATGTTGTGGACATATATTCGTAGAAAAACTTATGAAACTGTTTGTCAATAAATGTCGATGGATAGCTAATCATGAATATGATAATGGAATTTTTCATGTTACATAAAGAAAAAATAGCACTTACTCATTATATAGTAATGTTAATTGAATGTGGCGGCGTTCATTATTGAAGCTTTCAAATGCAGATGAATATCGTGCAGCACGTGCTAGACTAGTTTGTATAACATTGACGAAGACATGTCGAGGATGATCAGATAGGAATGGTACAACATAAGGTTCAGCTGCTGGTTTGTGATACACCGATGTTGTTAGAATGCCATTATTGTTGGTAAGAAGAACATCAAGAAATGGTAAACTTTTACCAATTGTATATTCTAATTTAATATTTGGATGCCATTTGTTTGCATCATCTAATAAATCTTTTAACGATTTTTCTGATTTATTCCATGTCATAAAAATATCATCAATGTATCTAAGGAGAAAATTAAAATAAATACTTTTCTCTGATTTTTCTTTGTCTACTAACTGGCCATAAAATTCAGCTGTCATATCTTGTCGACGAGCAAGGTCTTTTTGCCATTTCCACATAAATATATTTGCTAAGGTTAATGTAAATGATGAACCCATAGCACCACCAAGTACTTGTTTGTAAATTTTATTACCATATACAAAAACATTTTCTTTGAGAACAATTGCAGCTAATTGTCGAATAGTTTCAAGATCAATACCTTTGACTTTGGTGTATCCATGAAATCGAAGAAATTCAACCAAAATATCAAGTGCTTCATCTTGTGGTAACATTGTATATAAATTACGAATATCAAATGTACAAAAGAGTGTTGTTGATTTGAAGAGACCTTTTTTAATATATTTTAAAAGTTCTTTAATTAAAGATGTTCCATCAATAATAGTTGTTGAAGCACATTTATCATCAAATATAGGTCGTATGATTTTATCTAAAAATTGTGATATATTTCTTGTTGATGAACGAATTGTACTTTCAATTGGTCGAACTGGTATATCATCCTAAAAATGTATACATTGAAAAAAAAATTCTATCAATATTTATTCAATAAAATCTATATTACCTTATGAGTTTTTGGATTAAAATATAAATGTGATAGCTCAGAATTTTCTCGATCAGGCATCATTTCTTTATATTGCCATTGTAAAACAAGTCGTTTTGATCGTAATCGATTGAGTAATTGAATAACTTGATCTTGAATTTGATTGAATGGATTTATTGATATTTCCATAAAAGCATTTGTCTCTTGAAAAAATTTTTCCGCTTTCTCTTCGAATTCACTAGTTGAACCAATATAAAAATGATGACCCTTATCAGTAACACGAAGAATAAGATTATTTTTCTTGATTTTTTTCTCGAATTGATGCAGTCGTTTGTGCTTGTTCAAGCGTTTCAATATGTTCTTTGCATGATAATGGAGTAAAATAAGATCGATTAAAATGATCCAAAACTTCATTCGAATAGCCTTTTAAAGCACGTGAGTTTAATGACATACTATGATGCTTAATAAGATGACATTCAACTTTCTTCGTAATATCTTTATGTTCATTTTTAATTGCAGTTTCTTGTTGCTCTACAGGACGAATGGCACTTTGATTTAATCGTATAAAAGATGGACCTAAAAAAGTAATAAAATAATGAAAATTTCTCTAGAGAAAAAGAATTTCTAACCAAGACAAAGATGATTCCATTCACGTTCATTGAATGGATTTTCCAGTAAATCAAGATATGGTTCAGAAGAGACACAAATTGTATTCTTTGAGGATACTGAACGTTGACGATTTTGAAGTAATGTATGTCGATAAGATGCCACATTATGCTGAATATCACTTTTTAATTTTGTTGTTTGAGAAGTCATATATTCGTTCAAATGATTGAGAATTAAGTCTCCATTGATAGTCTTATCATTCAATAATATTGATTTTAATTTAGACCATATACATTGATATTGATAATCATATTCTTGTATTTTAACTTCATAGGCATAGAGAGCAATATTAAGCCATATACGTTTTGCTTCTTTAATGATTTTCATACGGTTATTTTTTACTTGAATTGCAATTCTATTCTGTATTATTGGTGAAAAAATATCAGGTGGAATAAATTTTTCTAATTCATCAAACTTTGGTGATAAAAAATTATGTAGTACTCGCATGTATAGTATGAGAAGTTCGTCCCAAATCTCCCCTTGTTTATTTCGTATTGCCATTAATTGATGGATATATTCCATCTAAAGAAAAAATGAAATAATGCCAAAAAAATAACAATTCTATGAAGAAACTTACATGATCAAATGTTAAATGATATTGACTTATAGTGTGGAATAATTGTTGGCGATGTAGATCATCTTTGAATTTGGTTAATTGATCATTATTTCTTAATGATACATATTGCCGTTCTTTTTCAACTACTTTTTTCATGTGTGAATCAATTTGTTCTAATGGTAATGTTGTTACTGGTCGTGATTGTGTTTGTTTTCTTAGTTTCAACTGGCATTGATCAAGTTCATGATTGTTTTCTTTTATATACTTGATAATATATTGTCGGCAGAGTTCAAAATCAGTAGTGTTTGCCATGTTATAGAGTTGACTCTATATTGTAATGAGAAAAATAATGATCGAAAAATGATTTTAGAAAGAAAAATTACTGGCCATAGATGATGTTCTAAACCAATGTCTATATATGATTGCCATAATTGTTGATCAACTGTTAAACAATATTGTTGGTCCATTAACTCAAGTCGGGCAATGAGAAAATCTCGTATAACTTTGTCCTTCAATGAATATTTTAATATTTTACTTAGTCGTTTAAAAAATTTCGGTAATAATCGTTTCAAATACATGAGTCGTCTATATAAAGAAATAAAATCTCTCAATAAATATAAGACAGAAACATGTCAACAAACCGATTTTTTCTGTTGTTAGTATTGTTATCGTTTTGTATTGAAGAATTAGCTGTTGTTTTATTTTTTTCCTTTACTTTTTTCGATGATGGTTGACGAGTAGATGATTGACTTGTTGATCGTACTAATGTTGAATTCAATTTTAATTCTTGTGATGAAACATCTCTTTTACGTTTATTGGGATTGATTGACGTCGGTTTCGAATGATTATTGATGTCAGTTGTATGTTTGTTTGATTCTGTTGTTTGCATATTCGTACGTTTTGTATTATTATGATTTCGATTGTCAGCTTTGTTTCGTTTCATAAGTAACTTTTCTATTGTTTTTGGTTTCATGCCTTTTGCACGACATTTTCTTCGAAAACGTTGGTTACGTCGATTACCATGACATTTTTTTCGTCGTACATTAGTAGGAAATTGTTGTTGATCATTGTTAGTATTAGTATCGTTAGGATTCATTTGAGAATCTATAATGTTTCAGTAATCGTAAGAATTCAAAATTTATCTAAAAGAATACAAGAAAAGATAACAATGACAATTATTGTTTCTAAACTCATTTCAAAAGAAAAATCCTATTTAAACTGTTTTTCATTTCAAAATTCTTAGTTATGTTTAACACAAATAGATTTTGCTTTAAATATGTATGTACATTTAATACGATCACCTATTTTATTACAACGTTGTTCTATAAGATTGATCATAACTGGTGATATTTTTTCATTATCATCAGATGACCGACGTTCATGCTTCAGTTTTTTCATATCAGTATCGAATCTCTTATTACATTCATCCATTTGAATTTTTGCTGACTTCAAATAGAGGTTGAACATATCTAGTCTTGATTGTTCAGCAATTTTCTTGTATTGATTGAATAATTCATGTCGAATATTCGCATCTTGAATCGAATCAATTAATTCTGATTGTGATATAGATGAACATTCAAATGATTGA